AAGAAGGAATAAAGGCGATGGCTGTTCAAGGAAGGTTTCCTGAAATAACAGAGGTCGAGGGAAGTGCTGGGAGCAGCGTGATATTAGGGCCCGCCTGAGCTCCAGGGGCAGGAAGTTCCACAGAAACTCCAGGGGCCACCACAGTGAAGGCTCTGCTTTGGGTGGCACCACCAGGAGCAGACCAGCCCACGACCTCTTCATACGGATGCCTGCCGGACTAGGGCAACCAGGCGGCCCACCTTGCGTGGAGCAGTCCTCCATTTGAAGGACTGGGAGAGGGCAGTCCTGTGTGGGGAGGGCTGCCCACGCCAGGCCCAGCTTCGCAATGAAGAGCTATCGGAAGCCAGGGCAGAGGCCTGCAAGGTGCCCGACCGCCGTGGGTGCCTGGACAGCAAACCTGCAGGCACAACGGACACCCGGCCAGAATTTCACACTGGGGGAGATCAGTGTGTCTTTATGTTGTAGTTATTTCACAAGTGCAGCTACGCATACATTAGTGTGTGCAAAGGTTGTGCACGTGGGTGCCCTCTGCGGTCTTCTCTTTTGGGAGTGCGTTTCCTCCTTTTTATAGCAATGCATGGCACAGGGTGTTGCTGCTGCTGGTCTGGGGGGGGGGGCTTTTCCAGGGGTGCTTGTGGCGGGAGAGCTCTGCGCGTCAGCGGCAAGGGTGTCACGGTGAGGCCGAGGGTGAAGGCATTTTTTCCTGGCCAGGCTGCTCCACTCCCCCGCTGGCCTCGCTCGGAGGGCTCCTGCCTCTCCATTTAAGGCCCAGGGCCAAACGGTGCAGTGTCAGGTTGGGACTTTGCTGGGTTTTGTGCCTGGCTGAGAAGCAAATAACTCACGGGGTGGACTAGGAAGCGCCAGACGGACTGTTCCGAGAGCAAGTCCAGGGCGAAGCGGAGGCTGGCAGGAATTCCTGGTGAGAGATTGTCTCAGCAGGGCGGCCCAATGGCGGCGGCTGCGGCTTGGGATGCCAGGGAGGGACTTCCTTGGCCGACGCGGGACGGTAAACAACCGTTCATCGAGAAAGCCACTGGGGGGGCATCAGCTGGGCAGGACGGGGGCAGCTCCCGCGGCCCTCCTCCAAGCCCTTTATCTCCCCCCCTTGTGATGGGCCTCCTTTCCACAGTGTGGATGTGTTGGATGGATCATTCCATGTATGTTTGTGCATATGCCAGCCTTCCCCAAGCTGGTGCCCGCCAGATAGGCTGGAATACAATTCCCGCACTTCCCCTCCAGGACCCCCTTGCTTTCTTGGCCAAGGGCATGAGCCGCATGATTTTACTGAGAGATCGGCTAGCCACAATTTTGCTCTGCATCCAGTCTTCCTAATCGCACGTCCTCGTGCGTTTTATGTGATTCGCCATCACAGTTTGCGCTTCCCTAAGTTCATTTGAGCAACGTGGGGTGTTTCAGGAACAACAAACCATAATTAATCCCTGGAGCCCAAAAGACTCAGCCAAGAATTATCCACCTGTTGCTTAGTGGGGATGGTTCATACAGCTGCAGTTTACTCCCTCACTCAGGTGAGTCCCAGGCACACCTGTCCAGGTAGAGAAACAAGCCAGTCTGATCAAGCAGGAATGCTTTGTCATCTCCTGGAGGTTTCCCACGGCTGGTTCTCTTCCCCCTGCAGCCCTGTCCTAAAAGGTTGCACTGCCTCTGCTAACGCTTTGGGTTCGAGTCCCCACTTGACCGTGAGGGGCCCTGGGGAACTTTGGGCCAGGCACTCGCTCTCAGCCCGGCCTGCTGTGCAGGGTTGTTGTTGTCAGAATAAAACGGAGCTATGTAAGCCTCCCTGGACTGCTCTCAAGGGGGAAAAGGCGGGATGTAAATGCCATGTTGTGTAATACCGTATTTTATTGGCGAGGGAGCCAGGAGAGAGGTGTTCAAAATATTTTTGGTGTATTCTTTGTGAGCTGCCCCGAGGCTTTGCTGCGATGGGGCGGCATAGAAATGTTTTAAATAAGTAAATAAATAAAATGATGCACAGTGTGGAGAAAGTCGAGAGGTGGACATTTTTCTCCCTTTCCCATTACACTTGAACCCGGGGTCATTCCGTGAAGGTGACTGGTGGGAGGTATAGTACAGAGAGAAGGACGGACTTCTTCACACAACATGTATTGAAACCGTGGGATTCGCTGCCGCAGGAAGAGGCGATGGCCGCCAATCTGGGTGGCTTTGAAAGAGGATTGGGCAGATTCACAGAGGAGGCGGCTATCGGTGGCCACTAGCCTTGCTGGCCAGGTGCTCCCTCCTTCTCCAGGGGCGGCCTGCCTGCTTGCACCAGTTGCTGGGGAGCTGGGCAGGAGGGGGTCTCGCCCCCTTCCTGCTGGAGGGATCCTGGGGGCAGCTCCCTCCCCCCCCCCCCCCCCCCCCCTGGGGGGGGGGGCTGGGGGGGGCTTGGGTCTGATCCGGCAGGGCTTCCCTCGTGTGTTTGTGCTCTTTTGCTCCCCCCGCTTGCCTTTCGTCCGCCTGGTTTGCCTCGGTCGCCACTGCTGTGCCCACCCCGAGGGTCTCCAAACGGGAATCTGGAATTTGTCCTTCAGGTTTGCAACCCCTCGGCCTGATTTCTTGCCGTCTCCCCAAACCTTCACGGTTTATTTTTATAGCCTGCAATATGGAAAAAATGCACTCTCCCGCTGACAGCCTCCTTTGGCTTTTGATCTCGCCTGTCGTGCAGGAGCTGAGCTGGCGCTCCTGCGCACACACCACTCAAAGAGACCCTTCCAGGACAGTGGAGGATGGAGAAGGACGGCGGATCCTGCAGCGCCCACGATACCGGAGGAGGCGGAGGACAGGCCCCGGCAGAGCCGAAAGAGGGGGCAAAAGTGAGCCCCGTGGCAGGAGACCATGCTGCAGAAGGAGAGGGTGCCCGTCCGAGTGAGGCCCAGGTGGCAGAGGAGCCGAGCCCAGCCGGGGCAGGAGGGGGCATCCCAGGGGCCGTCGAGGAGCCCGAGGGGAGCCAGGCCCCCGCTGCCAGCACCGCCCCGAAGCACCTGCACCTTCAGCAGAGCCTCAGCTGCCCGGCCAACGTGCCCAGGTACCTGTCCTGCTCCACACCTCCCTTTGCTCTGGGGTCGCCAGCCGGTGGGTGTCCGTAGTCCATTGGCAGAGCTGATCTCTGACACGGACACCGCGGCTCTCGGGGGCAGTGGGAGAGCTTTGGGTGGCATACTTTGGGAGGGGGATTTCCTCCACGGGGGCCAGTGCAGCAACGTGGGCGGATCTTGCGCACAGAGTGGCCAGTGACACATCGCCAAAAGTGCAGGATCGCCTCCCCAGAAAGGGGAGTGAGGAGACTGCCGATCTGCACACCCTGACATGCACGCATTCGTACTGTGAGGTGCCAAATTAGGGGGGAACCGTATTTCAGGTGGAAGTGTCACACGTCCAGGTGCTGCCCAGGTGAGCTGCATGCTGGCCCAGTCGCTGCCCAGGTCGATGGACCACTTCCAGCCACTGCAGCTCTCCCGTTGGGCACTTTGACCAGAGCCGGCCTTGGGGTTGGGTGTCCATCGAATAGATGGATGAGGGTCCTCTGCCAGCTCCCTCAAACGCAGGACACCCGCCCCGTCGTTCAGCTCCGCCACGTGTTGTTCAGGCACTTGCTGCCCGCAGGCGGAGGGACGCTCAGGGCCCGTCGCGGGTCGTGTGGCAGGACGATGGACAGGGGGCCACGGCACGGTGGCTCAGCGGAAGCACAGTCCATGGCCGGCCGGCAGCCTGGGTTCGGCCAACAGGGCAACCCACCTCCAGGGTGGCGTGTGGGTGGTCGAAATGGGGGTTTTCCACCATGGTTTATGATCTCGGCTGAGTCCAGACAAGATCATAGTCCGCGCTTCAACATCCCACAATTCAAAGGCAAACCGCAGTCAACCTGTGCTCATTCTGTGACAGGAAGAAGAGGGAGGAAACCACCAGAGGGTTCTGAGTGGAAGGTCTGGGTGCAAGGGCACATGCCCGGGAAATGGGGCCAAAAACTCTGGCTCCGGGAGCATCCCAGGTGGGACGTGGAAAGGTGCCACCTGACCCTTTGAGCAGATGCTGCCAGTTGAGAAGGTGCCAGTGAGCAAAACTGGCCAGTGCTCTGCCTCGAGACACAGCAGCATCCCAGGCCGTTGCAACTGTCACCTGTGATGACAGGTGTGTGGGACTCACACCTATTCCTGCGCAGAAAGGACTTCTGCGTGAGAATGCTGGCATGTCTGAACAGGCCCCGAGGCATTTTTCGTGGGGACGCCTGGATGTGACGCTGCGTTAACCCTCCTTACCCCCTTTCTTAACTCCTGGGAGAAAGATGCCTTGCCCATGGCCAAAGCACGTCACCCAGTGCAGTGGCGCTTTGCTGAGGAGCACGTTCCTCCATTTTGTGGCCACCACAGGGAGAGCCTTGCTCTGCCTTCTCATCCTGCCTTGCAGGAAACGCTGTGCTGCAGCAGACCCACGTCTGTAAAACTCAAATGCAGCCCAATCCTGTGGAATATCCTTTCCCAACCGGGTGCACTCCAGATGGGCTGGACTGCCGCTCCCAGTAAGGCCTTTGTCCCTGGCTCACGGAGTGCACCAAAGCAAAGAGCGTCTCCCGGCCACCATCCTCTGCCCAGGAAGGAGAGGTGAGGAAGGTCAGCTCTGCAAGGGCTTCTGCTGCCCCTGGAAAGGTTTCCGCAAGAAGACAGCTGGAACCGTAACAGTCCTAGCCCAATTCCCAGCACGGCGTGAATGCAGTTCTTCTCTAGGGAGAATTGTTCCACAGTTAGGAAAGGGAATTGCGCTTATTCCCCCATCTGAGAGAGCCCCTTTCAGCCTTCCCTCTTGCTCCCTGCAAACACAATATAATGCGTGTGTCCAGACATGGGAAGGAGACCTGCAGCAAAATGTTGCAGCATAGCTTCATTCCCTTAAAGGTTCCCGTGCAGCGCACCCACCGGCCCTGCCTTCTCCTTGCTCAGGAGCTGCAGTCCAGTCAGCACTCGCCCCAGCTTGCCACCTGAGGGGTGATGTGCGATCCGGTGCGTGCACAAGTGTCACCAGCGTAATATATTGCAAAGCAGCTCCGGCAGGTGCCACGCCAGTCCCCGCTCGGGGCGGCTTCCGCCCCGGCGGGCACCGGGTTCCCCCTTGCCCCGGGGGCCGGCTCGAGGCAGGGGCGCGCCGCCGGCCTTCCGCGCAGCCCCCCGCCAGGGCGCGGGGTCGCAGGAGCGCCGCGGAGGCGCCGCTCGGCGCGGATCGGGCGCGGCGCCCGGAGAGCTCAGCCGTGCCTGCCCGTTTCAGCTCGGAGGATGCTGCGGAGGGGGGCCCGCCCGTCCACGGAGCGCAGACACCGCAAGGGGCCGCCGGAGAAGCCGAGCCCCCGGAGGGCCCCGGCCCGGCCCAGGACC